TAAGACAGAGGAAAAGAGTGCTTGAGGCCATTCCTCCCCCATTCCGCCCTGGTGTGTGCTTGTTGCTTTTGCTGTGTTCTGCCGCCATGAGCTGTAGCCCTCTGCCATGTGCCACTTTGCCTTATAATCTGCCAGGTACGGACTGAACCTCCACGAACTGTAAGCGAAATAAACCTTTCCTTCCTTAATTTTGGGCATCAGGTATTTTGTCCCAGCAGCGAGAAAAAAGTAACCAAGACACCTCCCTAGGTGTAAACATCAGGGATTTATATTGTAAATAGGTAGCGATCACCTCAAAGAGTCACTGACCCAACCCCTTACAGGAAAAGCCCCTGTTCTGTATTCATGCCCACTTGCTATGTGACTTGCTTCCCCATTTGATCCTGATTTAATCAATTTTACCTGAACAGTTCCTTTTGGCTGACCACACTTTTATCCATTTTTCCCTTACCTTGGACTCACCTCACCTCGTGGTTTTGCTCTATAAATGTCCCTAGAAAAGACAGAGTCTGGGGCAACCCACTTCGACCCCTCTTCTGTCCCTCTCTTGGGTAGAAGCTTTCTTTCCCTCAATAAATATATTCTACTCTTAAACTCTGTTGTTCCTAAAATTCATTCTTCGATTTCAGAAAACATGAACTCAAACTTGTCCCAGATATCGTTCAGGTTGGGAGTTTTTATCTTCCTGTATCATCAGGAGCTTTTCTTATTGTTAACCTTCTTTGTCCTCTGTTATGGTTTGTGTCTAGATGTCCCCCCAAAGCCTCATGCAGTCATGGGGGCAGGCTTCTAGAGTTTGTGATTGATTCATGGTCCAATGCTGGGATTATGGATGTGAGAGCTATACCTGCCCTGGGGCGGGTAGCTTGCGTACAATGTAAGGAAGGGAAAGAGGCTTGCTCTCTGCCACTCCTCCCTTTTTGCTGTTGTTGCTTTTGCTGCCTTCCTCCGCCATGAAGTTTTGCCTTCTGCCATGTGCCACTCTGCCTCAGAGCCAACCAAGTATGGACTGAAACCTCCACAAACCGTGAGCTAAATAAACCTTTCCTTCCTTAATTTTGGGTGTCAGTTATTTTGTCTCAGCAATGAGAGAAAAGTAATTAAAGCATCTTCAAAATCCATTCTTCAATATCAGGAGACACAAATTTGGCACATCTGACATCTAACAGGTTGAGGATTATTTTCCCTGCCACAATATGACTCACAACAATCAACCTAAACAGTATGTATAGGACATAATCTATGTGAAAATGTCCCAATATCCAAAAAGATTATAACAGTTAGGACTAAAACCTAATGCTCATATTTCAAGATTGGTGTAACTAACTTTCTGGGTGTTCAACAACTAAGGCTTAGAGACATACATACATACATACATACATACATATATACATACATACAGTAAGAGAATGGTCAATATTTTTCCCTGGTGCTCCAAGGTCAGCCAGGACCCAAGGCATGACACCAGCCTCTAAAAGGCCCCTGCACCCAACTTCCCAAGCAGGAGCAGGAGGTTGGACCCCAAAGGACAGGACTCAACCAATGTACATTCTACAAAAAGAAAGGTGACAAAAGAGAATGTACCCATGCTTCAGAAACAGTCATATGGTCAAGAATGACCAGGACCCATCTTAGCAGGTAACACAGCTAGTACAGGAAAAACTTGAGGAGCTCAGAGGTTTCTCACACCATGAAAAGTAACCCTTGAGGAGCCCTAAGTGGCCTTGTCAGAGAGACAGACAGACAGACAGACAGGCGGACAGACAGATTTTAGTGAACAAAAGTCAAACTTCAGTGTGGTTTCTAACACCCAGAGAGCAAGTATAGCCAAAAAGTAAAGCAAATAATAGAGACAGAGAGCTAAACTAGTTATAAAAGGGACTACAAATGTGTCCTTCAGCCTGTCTTAGTGTATTGTCATTGTGTCATTTTGATGCACATTCTGGTAGCCCTAGGGTTAAAAAAAAAATGTAGCTTCATATATATCTGCCTATAGAATAAAAAATGCCAACATAAAATATTCTAGTTACTGAACATTATTTCTCTTGGTTGGTGCCAGCCACACCCAGGGTGGGTCTTCCTTCTTCACGAAATCCATCACCCACACCCACAACTATGCTCAGCCAATCAGCGGACTCATCCATTGTCACACAGCCATGATCAGTCACTTCCAAAAGCCCTGCCCATGCGCACATATGCCTTTGAAAGGGACATCCAGGTACAACACATAATACTTGTGTATTTGGTAGAATTCTGTTTTACCGCCTGCCTAGCCAGCCCTTTATATGCCTTCTCGCATGGCGCTTCATGTCCGTCTTCTCTTTCTTAAAGGCTGCTCTGCGGATTTCAGGGTCCAGCACTGGAAACACAGACAGCCTTGCGGGGGTTGCTTCCCCAGTTTCCATAAGCGCACAAGTCACTTTCTTATAACATCTCGCACTGGTTCTTCTAAATCTGGTTGAACCTACACTGGTACAGTCATGAATTAGGGAGACCTGCTATAGATCTGGAAGTGACCATGGGACTAGGGAAGGGCTGGGTCCTAGATGTGTTGAGGATACAGAAATCAGATCATCAAACACAGCAGCAAGGAGGAGGTTGGCATAGGGAATGACCCAGACAGTTCAGGCTGGATCAGGGAGTTGTACTGTCATTACTGGAGTGGAGTACATTTGGGGCTGGGAGAGGTGGAGACCCAAGTGAGAGCCTAACATTTGAAGAGTCCACGTGGAGATGTATAATCAGGTTGGATATATGGACCTGCAACTTAAAGGAAATGAGTGGGACCAGCACCAGTCACAGGCGGAGGCTAGCACGTGGGAGTGGATGAATGCGCTCTGGGAGAGCAGGTCAGGCAGCAAGATGAGAATGAGGCAGGACTCCAGGAAAACCACTCTCTAAGGGGAAGCAGAAGGAGATGAGCTAAGTGGAGAGTCTGGGGCTGAAAGGCTGCAGAGGAGAAAGCTAGACTCCACGGACGAGGAATGACTGCATGCACAAAGGGAAGGGATGGCAAGAGGGTGACATGTCGTGGAGCGTTTGACCCAGAACAAGGAACTGACAAGGTCTACTCCTCGGCTGTATCAACCATTTCCTCACATGAGGCCTTGGTGTCTGCTGTTCTACTGGCCCGGGATGCTCCTCTTAGGCTGTCTCTCACGCTTCAGGCGTGGGCACCAATGCAGCATGGGCTTGAGGCTGTGTGGCGATCCCACAGGAACGAAGGCACGTGGAGGCAGACGCTGCTGAGACCTGATGTTATCCTCTAAGTTCTCAGCTATCTGAACTTCAGGTAAGACTCCTGCATTTAACTTTTGCAGTACACAAGGCGACAAACAGCATCCCCCTTTCTACTTAAGCTCACTTGGGTTGTGCGCCTGCCACCTGCCTTGCGAAACACTGAACACTCCATGCGCTCCCTAACAGCTACAGCTGTGACAGGCACAGAAAGTGGATGAATCTCTTCCAGTGCCGGGTGAGAAGCACCTACGCAGGAGCCCTAAGGAAGGACTAGAATCTCCACTAAACGTCTCCCCACATATCTGCTCACCAATTCCCCTCTCTCCCTTCTCTTTCTTCCTACCTTTTGCCCTAAATATGCTCAGAAGTTACCCCTTCATATTGTATGTCTTCTCTCCTTTGCAATCCATCTGCTTTATTTATTTACTTATTTGTTTTTGATTTTTTGGTTTTTTGGTTTTTTTTTCCAGTACCGGGAATTGAACTCATGACCTTGCACTCGCCAGGCAGGTGCTGTGCCGCTGAGCTAAATCCCCAGCCCCTTCCATCTGCTTTAAAGCGGGAGCATACCTACACTCATTTCTTCCTCATGTCCCCCACTCAAGCTCCATAACCGGGTTCCCCTCCGGGTGTGGGTGCACCTGCCAGTGGTCACCACGGCCTCCAAGTCAGACCTGGGCCTGGTGGCTCCTTCTGTGGCACTTGGCACAGCTGCCCAGACCTTTGTCTTCTTCCCTGGCTGCTGTGACACCCAGGGGTTCTATTACCATCCTGCCACTCCTTCTGGTTACCGGAATGCCGGCAAAACCGCCAGGCCAGGGTGATAGGTGAGAGGCAATGCTTGAATCAGTCCCCTTGGTTTAGTGGGGCCACTCAGCTGGTTGCTTATCTCAGCCTTTAAAATTCCATCTAGAAGGGTCCGTCGCCGAGGTGGATCAGAACCACCCAATGCTGATAGGCAAAGATGGAAATCGCCATGGCACCACTCGTGGTGGGGATCATTAGATCCCTTCTGCTAGCCAAGCATGTATTTATTTATTTATTTATTTATTTTTCCTTCTTTATTTTTTTCTCTTTGTTGAGACAGGGTCTTGCTATGCAATTCAGGCTGGCCTTGAGCTCACTTTGTAGCCCAGGCTGGTCTCAATCTCACAACGATCCTCCTGCTTCAGCTTCCTGAGTGCTGAGATTGTAGGCGTGCATCACCATGCCTGGCACTTTTTTTCTTACCCAAGCATTCAGATGATATCTACAAATGTCCACTGGACCCACCTTCACAGGTATCCCTTCTCTAATCAGACTATACACCAGAGCTTTAACTTAGGTCCTTAGAATACATCGTCTAGAAAGACCAGTCCTGGATACAGGATACAAGGCACTCAACAGTTATGTTAAACATAAATAATGAATAAACACAGTTAATGTGAAATTCCTGTGTTAATTACCAATCCTTCCTAACCCAAGTATTGGGTTAGAGGGCTGACGTGTCTGTATGAAGTTCAGGCACATGGCCCTCCTTTGGCAATATTCTCTGCCCCTTATGAATAGAAAGAATTGTTTCCTCATGAAGCAATAGTCATATGCTACAGGTTATGAGCAGGTCCTAGTCTCCCTTTTCCCTGCATATGGCAGCACAGCGAAGTTCTGCTCCCCTCTGCTTCTCTGTCCGTGAAGATTGGGTGGGTGACACGGCTGTTGGGATGAAAGACCACACACAAGCAAGCAGACCTGGTATGAAATAAGCAATAATCACGCTCGCATGAGGGAAGGTCCTTCAGGCGCTTTATTAGTAGGCAGATACAAACTGGGCAAGAGCACCATTTAAAGTCACAGTCCAACTGTGTGTATGAGGTCAACGAGAAGGCAGAGAACACCATGGCAGTGGTTTATCAGCAAATCGGTAACAACCAAGCTGTGGGCCTTATGCTTTCCGTCCAACAGAACCATCACCCTGTCTGCTTCTATCCCCCAAAGAATGAAGCGAAGTTGGGATTCAGGACTCGCTATTACTCTAGACACATGTGGCGCTTGCTCTGACAATGCGCAAGGCTCCTACCCACGCTCAGACGTGGACAGAATAGTAGCTGTGTTCTCTGTGCCCAGCCTTCTCATCTCTGCTGTGTCTAGGCTAGATCTTGAAGTGTCTGATCCTCCCAGGGCATCGAGCAGGCACTGGGACAGCACTACCGCCAATGACAGGCTCTGTCACTGCAGGTTTTTCCTTTGGTTTGAATGCTTCTCCTGAGGCTGACTCCACAGAGTCCATACCTGCGAAGCTGTGACGCAGGTCATAGTGTTTCCGGTGCACCGGGGGTGGAAGCGACACCATCATGGGTGGCACCACGATGGCAGCTCCTGAAAAGCTAGGTACAAGGGGCGGAGACGCAGCTTGATCCGCCGCAGGGGTTGGGCTTGCCAGGGTGGGGGCATCTGGCTGAGGCTGCAGGGCCACAGGCTGGAGAGAGAAACATTTCCCTGCGTTAGCTTGCTTCCTCTTCCCAAACAAAGCCACCCCCAGATCTGGGTGGTACCCGCACCCAATTTCCCCACCATAATGATTTTTGTTTGTTTGTTTGTTTTTCCAGTACCGGGAATCAAACTCATGACCTCGTGCTTGCCAGGCAGGTGCTGTGCCGCTGAGCTAAAACCCCAGTCCCTCGTAATGATTTTTACTTGCACGGAATTTAGCAGAAAAGAAACGCATAGGTACAAAGGATTATCACCAGTTACCGGGGAAGAATAACTGGTCTGCAGAGACCTCAGTCTCACAAGGATTATCCTGGTGATGGTGGACTTCGTACACATGTCCTCACCTACGGCAACTCACTCACGTACAGCTAACTTCACACTTTGTCCTCCACGTGCACAGCCACCGAACTGCCAGGCAAGTCCGCCTACCTCTTCCTGTAGCTCAGAGAGCCACTCCTACCTCCCAGGAATCAAAGGTGGCCTTGTCAAGTACCCACGAGGACCGTTCTGCCCTGTAGCCACCAGTACACAGGAAGGAGACATCCTGAAATATCCTTCAGCGTGTCGGTGATTCCACACCCCCCAGCGTTACTTTACACCACAAGGTTCAGAAGGACAGGACAGCGCATGCCCTTTAGTACGGATGCACTGCGGAGATGGTGAGGGGTGGCCGGACTGAGACAAGAGCAGGCGTCTCCGTGCTGTTGTTACCTGTGTCGGGAATATGGTGCAGGCCACCTGAACTTCTTCCCCAGCAAGCTTCTCAGTGAGCGTCGCCTTACAGAAGCCATGTTGCTGCCAGAAGAGACGGGTGATTTTAATGGATTTTTGAAGAGATGAATTTCTCCCTTGGTTTCACTGATACACCCATCCGTCAAGGTAAAGAAACATAAAATGTTAATCCTCCTTTAAACATACCTTTTTAAAGTTTACAGTTGCTGCTTATAAAAGATATGTAATGTATAATTCTGTGGACACACAGGAAATACAGAAATGCTACTCGAGTGGCCAGGACCATCCATAATCCCAGAAATGGTGGCGATCCTGGGAGACAGACCTACCGCTAACGCTGATGCATGTCTTTCTCATTTTCAAAAGTTGTTCAATATAATTTGTTACCATATCATTGCATGTCCTGTTTTTTATTGACTGCAATAGAATAGCATATTCTCCTACCCTTCATTACTCTGCATAATTTCCTATTTACTGATGTGCCATATATTATTCCATGATGCCCTCCTGTTGGCCATTGGCCGCTTTCTCTTTCCGTCATTTCATATCTATGATGAAGCATCTTTGTAGATCTATCTCTGTTGAAGAGCTCTGATAAATCTCCTTTGGCTAAATTCCTACAAGTGGACATTCTCTGGCTCAAGGACTTGAAAGTTTTTGCATCTGAGGTACTTCTAGGAAATCTACACTTCACACACCCAGCATCTGGGCATGACCTGGCTTCATTAGGGTACAAGCTCTACCTTTCTTTCCCTTAAGTCCATGTGCCTGCCCTGGGCGAGGTGATTTGGTGGCCATTGTTAAAGTGGGGAGGTGAGGCCCCAGAGGAAAGTCTGCTACAAGCCAGCCCCAGAAGAAGCGGATATTCTGTACTGTTATTTTCTTCCCACAGCTCCCAGACGCAAGCTACATAAGGCTTCTGCGCTGTATGTACAACCAGCCTTGCCAGGTGGCACCCCTTGGCCCGCTTACCTTTTTCACAGGCTGGGAGCAGGCTGCATCTGTGCCCTCTCCAGCGACACAGCCAGTGGAGACCACTGCAAACTCTACGTAGGTAGATACTGGCAGAGGCTGATAAGAAAACAGGAGAATGAATCTGAGGCACTATGACCCGATATGAGAAAGGCAGAGCGGTAGGCCGGCGTGGCACCAGACCACTTCAGGGTGTGCCACCGGCGCAGACCATGTGCTGTGACCATGGGGACACACCCACACAGGTCAACCCCGGGCAGTTGTTGAAGACTGTGTTCTGAAGTGCTTGGACCAACAGAGGTAGGGGTTCGGTCTTCCTTGCAGGGGAACAGATATTCGCTGCCCATCCTTCTTGGCACAGGGACAGTTTTCAGGAAACCGGAAGACCAGCCTTACACGGACCTGAGCGGGGACCAGCCGCTCCTGGCCTTCACTCTGGGGCTGCATTTTGAGACCTGAAGTTTAGGTTACTCCCAGACAGGGCGGGAAAGTGGAGAGATGACCCACATACACACACACACACACCTAGAAGAACTAGGTGAAAATACAGAAGCCATTGTTGGTCCTTTGTTTCTGACAGTCCTTGGAGCCTGTGGATGGACACTGACAGTAATAACTCTTTGTTACTTAGTGTGTCCTGGGCTCGGGATGTTCCGGGAACTACATCTTCCGGTTGAAAGAATTACCATCTACACAAATGCACTTCCACGTACGTCCTGGCTGCTATCCAGGTTGCCAGGTTTCTCATTTATGAGAATTCCATTACGTCCAACTATGCTAGACCATCCGGAGTAAAATTAGATGTTTCCTTCCCCGTGATTCAAAAAGGCATTTTAGGATCCTGCGGCTGCACGCCAGTCAGTATAAGCTGCGCACGCCTTTTTTTTTTTTTTGTCTTTTTGAGACAAGGTCTCGCTATGCAGTTCAGGCTGGGCCTGAGCTCACTTTGTAGCCCAGGCTGGTTTCGAACTTGCAACGATCCTCCTGCCTCAGCCTCCCAAGTGCTGGGATTACAGGCGTGTGCCACCGCGCCCAGCTTGGTGGAGCATGCTTTTGCCAGCATCACCGGGCTGCTGCGGAGTCGGGGTGCTGGGTGGTGAATGTGGGGTAACAGACAGGCTGCACCCCGGGCCGTGGTTTCCGCAGGCGCCCAGGAGTGGAGCAGTGCCCACCCGAGACGTCCCCTGGGGAGCCCCCGAGGACTTTGGGGTCCTCACGAGCAAACTCTGGGGCCCTGTTCTCCCCCCTCCCCACCCCGCCACACAGCCCAGGGGTTCCCGTCTTTACCACGAGCTGAGCGCGGGAAATTTCCAGCAGCTGGAAGTGCGAGCCGTTGTGCAGCGCGTTGAAGGAGGCCAGGGCGGCGTTGGCCGCGTGCACCACCTTGGTGTCGTTCACCTCCGCCAGCAGGGGGCAGACGGGGCACACCTTGCGCACGTCCTCCGCGGAGTCTGCGCAGAGAGGGTGCAGGCGGTGAGGGGCGCGGCGCCCGGCTTGTGAACTAAGTCTGGGCTTGGGCCACCCGGGAGCCCCTACTCTCAAGGGCCCCTGTTCGCCTCCCGGGAGAACAGCTCCTCAGACACTCGCCTTAAAATCTCAGCACCCAGGTAGCCTGGCTTCTCCTGATCTTCACCGACAGTCACCAGCCCCGCACAGTACTGAGGCTCACAACTCCCCGGATCCCTCCCCAGTCCGTCTACAAGGGCCAGGAGAGTAAGAAAATGAACCCGTCGTCTGTACCTGGAGTGGAATGGCATTTTGCAAACAGCACGGAAAACTGGCCGTCGTGTTTGAGCACTTGCATTTCGCAATCTCCTTCCACTGCCTGGGGAAATAAACCCACTGTGAGGTCCCAGGGAGGGGCCCCTGGCATGGCCATCACGCGTGACCCCCACAGAGCACCTTCACGGTTCACGTCGTACTCTTTGTTTGCAGAGGAGGCTTCAAAAGTTAGCTATAGTAAAAATCAACGCTAGGGCTAGGAGGCATGGTGGCACGGCTGTAATCCCAGCTACTGCAGAGGCTGAGGCAGGCCGATCTCAAGCTCGAGACCAGCCAGGAAAATTTAGCGAGGCCTTGTCTTAAAATTTAATAATAAAAAAAATTGAAAGGGCTGGGAATGTGGCTCGGTGGTAGAGCAATTGGCTAGCATGCATGAAGCCCTGTGTTCAACCCCCTAGGGGTGGGGAGGGAAACTACCCACAGAAGGCAATTAGCAATTGGCTAATTTTAATTGCTCCAAGAGCAGTTTTAGAAAGTGCACCCTGCTACGAAAGGGAGCAGGCTGCAAAGCTTCATACACGGCGCCTGTGCTTTCTGCTCTTTGCTGTTCCCGGGTGCAATCGGCCGGGACGCCTTCAGGGCCCCGGGACACTCACATGTTGGGATATCTGTCTCACAGGGCAGTTCTCCAAGGGTGTGGGGTCCAAGGCGTGGCAGACGGTCTCCAGCGTGTCGATTTCAATATGATACACCTCTCCGAAAGGCCGCTGTGGAGACAGAACGGGTTGGTGAGCAGCGCCCTCCGCCCATCCGCCTGTGCCGGCCGCAGAGCGCCCCGCCAGGCCGGCACCCCTGTCCCACCGCTTCCAGCTCTGACCCTGCCCGGGGCCAGGCTCACGACCGATCGTGGCTTTTCCGGTCTTCCTCTGGCTACTGGAAGGGGGATGGAGCCCCGCCCTCACTCTGGACTTTAACTGGAAACTTGGAAATGAGCATCGCTATATATTTATTTAATTTTTAAAATGTCACTCTTTCAAAAAGTCAGTGTTGGGTTTCCTTAATCAAGCTGTAAAGTCGGGTGGTGTCGGATGATCGCGTATTGCCTTATCTTTACCTTCCCTACCTATCCCTCTAGTTGGTCCTTCCTCCTCTCTCGTCGCCTACTTTCTGTCGTTGTTTTTCCTTCTTGAAGGGTTTGTGTTGCTGTGCCCTCTGCTTTTGCTTTGTCCTTTGGTTCCTGGATACCCGGGTTCACGTCACCTGCTCTCCACTGCACCCTGCTGGCGACGGGTGGGAAGAGCGAGTGTACTGCGCAGGTAGGAAACACTTCATCCCTAACACAGACGCCCTTAGGACGCTTGCCTACCTCTTTGGAATTGTTCTTGTCGGTTCATCTGTTTGGGTATCCTTTCATTAAAGCCTGGAAAGTCTCACCCTGGCTCCGTCTGTCATTCCAGTTCTGCCTGACTCGTACCTGAAGCCTCTGGAAGAAGCACTGCATGTTTTGATGCGCGGGTGTGCCCAAAGTAACTTCCAGAAATAACTCAGAGCTGCAGTGACCAGGAGCCAGGCACATCTGAGCTCCTCGCGATGCCCATCCGTTGCTCTTTCACTCACACATGCGTGCTCCGTGCTTACTTTCCCCTGAACTGATCAGTGGTTCCTCGCACCCACCGATGTTACTTCCGAGTGACTGGAGCGCTCTTAAAATTCCCCGGAAGTCCTGGTTTCACACGGTTTGTCCCTTTGTGAAGTCAGGTGTCGGCCCTCAGTCCTGACATCCTGGTCTTTACCATACTTTCCCTTTGTATTGCAGATCCTTGTGGGCATAGACCATCTTTCTCACCTACATGTTGGGTTGGAACATATAAAATTGCCATTTCTGTATGACAAACACAGCCAAATACTGGCAATTTGAAAGGCTCAAGCTAATATCTTCCATAGTGCCTGATACTGGGTCTTGCCCAAGGAAGCTTGAGATAATTGTTTGCTGAAACATTATCCTTAATCGGATAGCAAACCTAATTTCAAAACAAGTAGTCGGCACGTGCTTTTTCCCCACCCTTCCAAATTTCTCGACTGATCTCCAAAACATGTTTTCTGGCTTTCTCTTTTATGGTCACTGGTTCAGCCTGCATGGTCTTCTTGTCTACCGTGTGGAGAAGTGAATCCTGTGTATCCTAAGACTTCTCTCTGAAATGTGAGGAATGCATTTGGGGAGGCAACTTGTACAGAGGAAGGAGCCCAGGTCTGAAATAAAATCGCAGCCCGAATGCTCACTACGACCTTGAGCAAATAATGACAACACATCAGAGTCCCAGCATCCTTTTCGGCAGAACAAGGACAGCAGAGTATAGCTCCTGGCCAGGACACCAGGATGGCAGAGCAGTTCATTAGATGAGCTATGTAAAAGGGCCTGACACACAGTCTCCATTTGTCAAATGCTAGTTTCCTTCACTCCCAGTTTTTGTGACAGACAGAAGCCAAGAAAGGTACATGATTTGCAGACAAAGATAACTTGGCAAATATGAGCTGGTCTCTTGGGCCCTGGTTTTCTCAGTGAGCCATGCCTTCCATCTGTGATTTGCAAAATATCCCTGGAAGTATTTTTATTCTCCTCCCCATTCCCCCACCTCACAGTGAGCACGCCCCTTAAGATCCAAGCCTGCAGAACGGAATGTCTCCCCTCTTGCTGTGCACCTGCCCCTTCCTCCACACTTGCGAAGAAGTCAGTTCCCTCACTGCAGTTTCATCTGTGCTGAGAGATGCTGGTCCTCTGAGGCGCCAGCTTGGGCTCCGCACATGGGTTCTTTCAGCTCGCTCACACCGAGTTCACTTACCCGAGACCACACCCTGACCTTGTCAATTTGGTTCAGACTGTGCTTGAAGCCCCGAGCAACTTGCTGATTGAGGTAATTCACGGCTGCCAGGGCCGCCTGCTCAGTCTCTGCGTCGTCACAAGCCGGGTCCCTATAACCCAGCCCCGTGGCATAGGGGGCCGAGTGGCAGCCCCAGAGCTGAACAAGGCAAAGGAGCAAAACAAAGGACTTCATAGCTGCCCCAGAGAATCCCTGGCAAGTGGGCAGATGGCTGGAGACTTCTGGAACAACCCACGTCTTCTGCTGGGAAAGCTAGGCAGGTAGAGGGATGGAGGGCTTTATTTATCTATTGGAGCCTGCTGAGGGAATTGCACAAGGACATGAAATGATTTCAATTCTGCTTCCAAATAACCCCTGCAAACATCAGCCCTGGAAAAGCAAACAAGTTGGGACATCCCTGGTCCCCAAGAAACCTGCCAAAGTCAATTCTGTGGTGGGGGAGGTGCCCCAAAGTCTGCCTGGAACACGGCAACAGCAGCGGAGAGAGGAAGCTACGAGCGGGATGACACAGTTGAAGCAGCCTGCGTCAGTGTGGCGGGGCTGGCAGGAAGAGGTGGGGGTGCCCTCTGCCCGGATCTGAGTGTGCTGTGGGGTCTGCACGTGGGGGTGGGGGAGGATTCAGAAATTTGATACCATCGTCAACGTTGGGGGCGATCGCTCTTCCACAAGGGCCCTAGAAGGAGAACAAAGCACTCAGAGATAGCAAAGGTGCAATGAACTATGAGACACAAGATCCTGGAGGCCCTTACAGAAGCGAAGAAAGGAAGAGAGACGTTGCTGTCACACAGGTGAAAAGGAGGGGCTCCTATGGCAGGGAGGAGTGTAACCAAGGGGGTGAGGGTCCCCATTCCCTCATCCTCCTTTCTCCAGACCTCACTGCCAGGGTCCTGTAAGTGACAGTGTGGACGGGTGGACCCGGGTCTCCTCAGAAGTTGGATGTGGTTGGTGCCAGTAGCCCCGCGCTCCCAGATAGCCAGTAAGTACAGAGCAGGGGAGTCCCGGCCTCACAAGCACTCATTTCACAGAGCTCTGGGTTCAAATCCAGCACTGCATGCTGAGAAATTACAGGGCCAGCTAAGAGCACAGTTGCCCCCTTAGCACCTTCTCGCGGAATGAGAGCATGTCTTTCCGGCCAGAGCACAGGACCTAGTGTTGACGCCTTTGAAGTGGCCCTGGACCAGCACAGGTGGAACCACCAAGGAGGGTGGGCAGGGAAGGTGGAGGCTTGGGAAACGTCACACGAAGACTTGGTTTAGCCCGGAACAAAGCAACCCTCACATGGAGGCCCACATGCCCTTCAGATAGTTAGAGCCTGTCCCTGTACGTGCCTTCTAAGGAGAAGTTTAATAATACTGATTTTCAGGGAGCAGGTGGGGTCGGGCGGTGAGGGGTGGGGGCAGAGCACAGAGGAGGCTGTGGGAGCATTTTCACATTTATTCGCAGTGGCACAGCTCGAATCTCAATGGCAGAATGTGGTGAGGCTCCAGGTCCTCAGGCACAGGGGCTCACGGCCCCTAGAGACAAGGACCAGCCTCGGGTCACCTCTCCACGCCAACCTCCCATCGGCCTTGTACCTGTTTACCTCGAGGGCCTCACTCACGCACATTCTGTGCAGGCTGCACCCTTGTCTCAAATCATCTTGCAAAGTGCAGTAAATGAGGTCATGACTAAATATTTGAGAGCTTTGAAAAGTGCTCTCTGTGAGCATACATCTCATCGTTCATGAGCTCGGGGCTGTAAAGTATAACAGCATTTTCCCCAGTGTAACTGAATTTCTGACTCTCGGATCCTCTTGGGGGAAATCTGATCTAGTCACTTCCGGGTAATCTGATTCCCCCACCCCCACCCCGGGGTCGAAGCCCTGTAACAATCACTTCCCCTTCCTCTTCATCCCTCACTGGCGTTAAAGATAAGCCTAAGCCGGGAAGGGGCACTTATGCGAATGGCACTAAAGGCAGAGACGGGTGCCCTCCTTTGCCTCGTACTGCAGGGGCCTGAGTTGGCATCTTCCGTCAGGTAACCTGCCTCACCTGCTCACCAGGCACCCACCTGCCGACCTGTGGTTCCACCTGTGAGTTAGTGTCCTGTTTGTCCCTCCTTAATCCATGGCAAGATAGTGCTCCTGTGTCCCCGGATCAGGGCTCCCCTATTCCAGCTATGAGACCTTTCCTAGGCCACAAGCTTTCTCCCAGCGAGGTGCCACTCCATTCTTTAAGCATGGGGAAACTACACAAGGTGCAGCACCCCAAGAAGCTGCCTTCTCTGGGGACACTCGCTACAGTCATGGGTTCTGCACTGCCCTGGTGCCGCAGGGGCCTTCTCCTACAATATGTCTCCTTGTGCAGCCCCCCCACCTCCACTCCTCATTCCCTCCAGAATGAGCTTGGGTCTTCCTCCGCCCTGGGACTCCCATGTTTGCCCTGAATGGTTCTCTTGCCATTCCCACCTGAGGACGCAAGGACAGAGATAAAAATCTGTCTGATCATAAGTCCTCTCGAGTCATTTCTGCCTTCTGCAGGGGCCATTTCTTTTGATATCTTTGTTCTTGGATCTTCCACTGGTGATAAGTTCTAAAGCATTGAACAGCTCAGTTGACGTTAGGTATTTAGCTGATGAAGTGTTTTGCTAAAGCTACAAAAGTAAGACCCATAGTAAAGACCAACGAATGCCTCACCTATCATTCTACCACTTATAAGCAGAATTCCAAAAATCATTCACCATCTTCTGCCGAAATAAGTGGCATTAATTTTTGGTGCATTTCCATCTTGTCCTTTTTTCTATATAAAACATTATCTTAATATAATTTGGATCACACTACATACAATTCTTTGACCCAAAGGGTTCAGACATTTACAAAGCTCTTGATTTCTATGGTCAAATTACCTATCAGAAAGCATAGGCCAATATATGCCCCTGCTGTTTGACTCACGTGCTGTGGCAGTTCTGCTGCTATCTTTCCTCCTCCGCTACTGTTTCCATGCTGACTTTTGTGGGAAGTTAGATATTTAAAAATCATCAGAACTCTTCTTGTTGTATTTTATGAATACCTTTGATTTTATCTCAACTACTCCATTTACACAATACATACAAATTAAAATAGCTTTAGTATCAGGCTGAATAGAAGGATCTTTTATTTAGATTATTTTTTCAGTTTCCTGGGCCAGGGATATAGCTCAGTGGCACAAACATCTGGTTGGCAAACGCAAGGTCCTGAGTTCGATTCCTGGTACAAAAAAAAAACAAAACAAAACACTTTTTTTCAGTTTCCTTAGAAAAAATGTTGACATTTACCTACTGACAATGAAGAGAAAATACGTGATATTTTGATATGTCTTCCAAGATAGCTGTAACACTGGTCGCAAAGGGAGGTCACTGGTGTTTCACTGGGCCTGAGGATACCGATTTCAAACTTCAAAAGATTTCCACATGCCAAACACACACGCTCATGAGTGATGGTGGATTAGTTTCACCCAACTGACTCCGGTCTCCTTAAATGCCAGTGGCAGATGGGCTTGTATTTCATTTTTGGATCATTTGCTTCACTATTCTGATTCCTCATGAGTGCATTTTTTTCTGTGAGGCCCGTATTGCTGGATGTAACAGTGTTCTTTGCATTCACACTAACTAGGATATAGATATAAAGCTGCTGGAGGGAAGCAGTCTCAAAGGTCTTGGAGCAGAAGAGGAGCCATAATCTCCAGGAGATGGCAGCAGGGTGCCAGACAGTGCTACTCACGGCTGACACCTCAAGGTGGGCATTAAGGGTGGCTCCAGCACCTCAGTTTGTCAAAAGCGCTCTTTCCCAGCGAGTCTCTAGCACAGGCGGTGCGTTTGAACTATTCCAAGGCAGAATTCGGTGCTTATAGTTGCCAGCCAGGAGCCAGGACAAGAAGGATCACCATAAACTCAGGCTCAGCATTTTCCAGGGTTGGTACCATCAGTGGCCCCGCCAGTAGGCCTGGGTCTAGGAGAAGACGGTTAGAGCTAGAAGGGGGCCAGGCAGAGAGTCAGACAGAAAGAGAGGTGAGACCTACAAACCCAGCATGAATCAGTGCATGTGGGTGAAAACCAGGGAATGACTGGTTTCCCCAGAGGAAGTAGTGGTTGGTTTAAGTCACAGCTCTGCCCTTTCTGATTCTTTTTGTTTTGTTTTGTTTTGTTTTGTTTCCAGTACCGGGAATCGAACTCACGACCTCGCGCTTGCCAGGCAGGCGCTGTGCCACTGAGCTAAATCCCCAGCTCCCCCCTTTCTGATTCTTAAAGGGCCTCGGCCCTAAGAAGGCTGGTAGCCAATTTCTGATAAGCCTCACATTTCGTCATTCACGTGTTCAATGAACAATCCTTTACTGAGCACCTTTTGTCTCTGAAGTCAGGAGCCTGGACAGAGTGCTAAGAAGCCCCTATCTGCTCTAAAGGTGCTCATCTCAACTCTTTTGGCCCAGCCAACTTTCACCACCAAAAAAAATGAAGAGTTATTGTACACAAGGATCACGGCATTACTGTATGAATTATCATAATGTCCTGTGGAGACAGACTGGGATTTATTTCTCCAATATAAAATATCAATCTGTGGAGTGTAAATTACCCTTCATAAGGACTCCACAGGTTTCTTGCAAAGGTAGCTCAGCACGCACTGACTTGGAGGTCGTTACCCAGTAATCTGGAAGAGCCATTTGTACTCCACGCCCCTGCACCATGGCTGCAAGACCTGGGCCTGACCACAGCGAGACAAAAAAGATTCAATCACAGCGAGCAGAGGACACTGCTTCCTGTTTTGCTGTAGAATTAGAGCTTTGCAAACTATTTCCTAACTTTACCACATCCCCCGGCCTGGCCCTGGAAATCTAATCCCTGCAAGGAAGCTGCATTTGCGGGCAGCTGAGGGGAATGGTAGGGCCAGACTAGAGTGGGGTAAAGACGGGATAAAACGCATTCTGTTGGAGTCTCCTTAAATTTTGTGCGCCAGGTCTTTTCTTTGCTTGCTGCAGCCTAGTCCTGGCCTTGAGGAAGAGTCACAGTGTAAACCCAGAATGGATTAATAAAAAGGATTGGGGCTCATGAAATCTTCTTCCTTCTTCAAGAGAAGCTTTTGTTGTTGTCACTGTTTGGGCTAGAGATACCATGCGTGAAGCTGACCCCAAGAACAATCACCCACAGTGATCCTTGCAGTTGGCGTCTCTCAGCCCCAAAGAAAGGATGAGAAATCTTTCATTCTCTTTCATTTGGAAGAAAATTTTTCTATTGCATGCTGTCCGGTGTGGCCTTGGTACCTA